TGGAGACGGGGTTTCACCATGTTGACCAGGATGGTCTCGATCTCTTGACCTCGTGATCCACCCGCCTCGGCCTCCCAAAGTGCTGGGATTACAGGCTTGAGCCACCGCGCCCGGCTAATTTTTTTTAAAAAGGAGATGGGATCTCACTATATTGCCCAAGGTGGTCTCAAACTCCTGGGCTCAAGGGATCCTCCCACCTTTGCCTCCCAAAGTACTGGGATTACAGGCGTGAGCCACCACACCTGGCCAGACCTCCAGTGGAGGCCAATCATGGTGATGGAGAAGGAAATCAGGGACAGATCTATACCATTTGTTCGATACTTACTGCATGTAAACAGAAGGAAATCAACACATCAAGTATCTCTTTATTTCATCCACCATCTCCTGTAGACAACGAGGTTTCTCCCAAATTAATGTGCTTGGAAATGGCTTGAACCAAATGGTTCATGAAGAAAACCTACGATATTTTACATGAAATTGCCACATCTGGGCATCAGGAAATCCTTCCCAGAGAATGCCTCAAATCAGTCAGCCTTTTCTCTTTTATTAGGCAGGTAGGTGTCCCCAAGATTAAATCTTAGCTAAAATATGAAAGTATCTAGTACAGGAGCCTATCGCATAGTTTCAGTCCTTTGGCAGTCAGACCTCATCTGGGCTGTCTTTGTGTGAGTTGACTGGCAAGTGGGGTATAAACTAGGTAGGCTGTGGCCTGGCCTGGTGACAGAGGGGTCCCTGGAACTTGACTGCCACTCCCTAAGAGCAGAAACCCCCTCTTTCTTCCACACTGCTGGATCCCATCATCATGCCCAGTGCCCCGCAATAAAACATAGGTGGCTTGCAAAAAAACACAAGATTGGGGCAGGCAAAGTGGCTCACATCTGTAATCCCAGCACTTTGGGAGGCTGATGTGGATCACTTGAGGGCAGGAGTTCAGGACTTGCCTGGGCAACATAGTGAGATCCCATCTCTAAAAAAAAAATTATTTAAAAAAATTAATAAAACAGCCAGGCGCCAGTGGCTCACGCCTGTAAACCCAACACTTTGGGAAGCCGAGTCAAGTGGATCACAAGGTCAGGAGATCGAGACCATCCTGGCTAACATGGTGAAAGCCCATCTCTACTAAAAATACAAAAAATTAGCCGGGTGTGGTGGCATGCGCTTGTAGTCCCAGCTACTCGGGAGGCTGAGGCAAGAGAATCGCTTGAACCCAGGAGGCAGAGGTTGCAGTGAGCCAAAATCATGCCACTGCACTCCAGCCTGGACAACAGAGGGAGACTCCATCTCAAAAAGAAAAAAATTAATAAAACACAAGATTGGCTTGTGCGGTGAGACAGTATTGAATCCAACAAACGGGACCTGGATAGTGGGGGTCCATGATGCAATGGTGGCTGCACCATGAGACCCTTATCCATATAATATTTAGTGGATGTCGTGCCAGGCACTGTTCTGGGTGCTGAGAAGATAGCAGTGCATAAGACTAAGGTTCTGTCGACAGAGACTGTGTAACACCAGTGGTAAAGGCAGTCAACAAACTTATATTTTTGAGATAGTGATGAGTTCTGGAAGGAAAGAAGGCTGATGTGGGCCGGGCACGGTGGCTCGCACCTGTAATCCCAGCACTTTGGGAAGCCGAGGCGGGCAGATCACCTGAGGTTGGGAGTTCGAGACCAGCCTGACCAACATGCAGAATCCCCGTCGCTACTAAAATACAAAAGTAGCCGGGCGTGGCGGCGCATGCCTGTAATCCCAGCTACTCGAGAAGCTGAGGCAGGAGGATCTCTTAACCTAGGAGGCAGAGATTGCAGTGAGCCGAGATCTCGCCACTGCACTCCAGCATGGGCAACAAGAGCAAAACTCCGTCTCAAAAAAGAAAAAGAAAAGGCTGATGTGATGGTGAGGAAGGGGTAGGTGGAATCTTCTCTGAGGTTTGAGTGAATGATTCCTCTTTCTCTGAGCTGAGCCAAGCTGAGAAGCTGTGAGGATAAAGATAGGGCCGGGAAGTCCGGTCCGCTAGTCTGGCCTCCGAGGTGGGGGGTGACCATCAGAATGGATTTCCGATCTGCTCCGCGAGAGCCTTGCCCAAGAAAGCCCTGAACCACTTCCCAGAGCAGCGCTCCCCAGGGAATGAGAAGTCTTTTCCCCTCGGACTGGATGTGGCTTAGGACGCGGACCCACTGGGTGTGGGACAAGCCTTGGCACGGGCCTGGAGGGAAGAAAGAACCCACGCGCCCCCCACACTCCACGGGGCTTGCGGCCATCTCAGACGTTCCGCTTCCACGTGCAGAAACCACGCAGGTCCGAGGCCCGGGTTCTAAAACAGCCCTCGAAGTTAAAGGCCTCCACAACCCGCCTCTGAGGAGGGCAAAGAGGCCCCGGGGGCGGTGCCTCGCGAGACCCAAACAAGCCCACGTGGCAAGGGCGGGGCTCCGATGTGACGTCACGGCGCGCTCGTGCGCGGCTGAGGTCACGCGCCGGCCGTACCCTTGCCCGCGGGCCGTAAAGCGCGGAAGGTCGCGGTCTCGGCTTCCCCGGAACTTTTTGCTCAATTCGCCCCGCCCCTTTCCCAACTTTGATCCCCGCTTTCCGGCCCGAGGCGACCCCCGGCAACCGTTGTGGCTGGCGCCTAGCTCCCGCCGGGCTGTCGCTGAGCGCGGAGCCCGTGGGGGCCCGTGAGGTAAGGAGACAGCTGCGGGGCGACTCTGGCTTCCCCGTCTGCGCGTGCCTGAGCGCCCCGGGACCCCCAGGTTCCCCTCTTTCTCCTTTGGTTTTGCCCGGGGGTAGTCTCCGCTAGCCCCCCGCTTCCAGTCGGTTCCCCCTGGCCTCTCACGAAGGCGCGTCCAGGCGCCAGGACTCGGTGCCCGGAAGGTTGTCTGCTCGTGCCTTGGCTCGTGTCCTCGGCTTACCCAGGGCCTGCGCACCGCTCCTCCAGGCACCTGCATCTCAGCCCGGATGCCAGGGTGGCGGAGGTGACTGCGCCTCGGGCTCCCCCCTCACGGGGTTGCACACCCCTGCGGCGCAACTCCAGCTCGTTCAACCCGGTCCTACGTCCCTGCAGGTGGAACTGTTTTCCCGCGTTGAGACGTGCGGTCGGCTTGTGCTTCATAACTAGTAAGACTGCTGCAGAGTCGGGAGGAAGAAGTCACCTAGAAAAGTCTGGGCCAGGGCAGTGAGCTTCCTTGTTAATGTTTGACCTTTGGGGGCCGATGTGTGATACTAGGATTTGAATCAAGAATCTCCAAGCCCATTTCTCACATGCATGTAAACATAATGTACGGGAATGAGGGGGGTGGGTGGAGGAGGAGCCAGCCCTACGGGTGTACTTTTCCAGTGACAGGGACTTGTGTTAATTATTTTTTCTTTTTTTCTTCTTTCTTCTTCCTCCTCCTCTTTTTCTTTTTTTTTTTTTTTTTTTTTTTT